AGTTTAGACGTATGTGGATGACAATGATTACCATAGATGAAGGGAGAGAAGATGGGGGAGGGGAAGGAGGCACTTACAAATGAGCTCATTGACAAATCAGAACCAACTGGGTCTTGCACCTTGTGAATAGATAACCCCACCAAGGGTTCCCAGGGAACAAATCCTGTAATCAATGTGCTATTTAGGCAAACTCTGTTGATTCAGCAGGAGATCAAGTTCCTCAGTGCTAATGTAGCAAGCCATCTGATGGAGTAACAGTCTTTGGAGTCAGAAAGTTTTTAAATTTCAGCTCTGTCCATCAGTGTGTATTTTACGGTGGATAAAAGTACTTCTTCCCCAGAACCTTAGTTTTCTTAACTTTGGCATCTATAAAAGATAACTGAATACGTAATGAGCTAGCAAGGATTCCATGTATTAATGTATGTTTGCCACTATTCCACTGGAAGCCCACTGATGATGAAAAGCCACGCTCTCTGGCACAGAACATGGAGTTGAACCAATCCTAACAGGCAATCTCACTAAAGAAAGGGAGGTAACCACAGACTTTCAGGGTAATTGAGCCTTGAGATCTGAATTGTTAGCCAGTTCTACCAGTATTCTAATGCATCTAAATTGTATAAGCCAGTGACTTGTGATATGGGGGTCTTGGTTGGACCATATTTACTGTTAAAGTAATTTTAATCCACACATTCTTCCAGACAGATTGTAGAGACTATTAAATGGCACACACATTTAGAAATATTATAAATTTCATTATCTTTTGGGTTCTGGGGTTTTAAATATCAATAAGTTTAAAAATCCATAATCTAGAGCTCAGAAATCTATTCCAATAGAAATACCCTTTCAACATGGATTTTCACATGGATTTCAAAGAACCTTTCTAAATTTCTTGAGGTAGACAAAATAAAGCATTGAAAATGATTCTTGTTATGGATTAAAATGAATTTTATTTTTTGAGACAATATTAAAGAATTACAATCAGAGGCAAAAATAAATATCAGTGTATCCAGAATAATAAGGCTTCAAAAACTGAAGCCTTCCAGAAGTCTCAGTTAATTACCCAAGTTATACATTTGACATTTAGTTCTGCCAACATAGGTACTGCTGACAGTCTTGGGCCTAGGAAGCTGTGAATGTTTTCATGGATACTTACAGGTTCTAGAAGCTACCTCTCAACAGTATTTAGTCTAACTAGTGATTTTCGTGTCCCCCTTTAACCGGAAAAACTTTCCTATGGACCCTTAATATCCCATTCTGTACATGTTGAGTTGTAGAAAATATAATTATAATCATACACACATATATACTACATTAGAAATGGGAAAAATAACTACAAAGTAAGAAGAGGTTTGTTAAGTGAAGTTGCCACTTTCCATGCCAAGATTTTACATAGAAATCTCGTCTCTGAATTTCAATGGACAGCCTCTTCCTATTGTGAAAGTCATAAGATCACCATCAATTCCAATGTCACTTTCACAGGGTGTCTGCCACTGACACACAATGAAAAGTGGGGACAAGTGAACAGTCTTAGAATTTATTCTCTTTCATTCCACGTATTAATTTATGAGATTATTTTATGTGTTTAGCCGTGTACTAGCTTATTCTTACCCAGTTTTGTCAATGTGTGTGCATGTATAGATAAGACTGTGTGTGTGTGTGAATACATAAGACTGTGAGTATATGTGTACATGTGTGTGTTTAAGACTGTGTATGAGTACATAAGACTGTGAATGTGTGCGTCTACACATTAGACTCTATGTGTATGTGTGTGTACATAGATTGTATGTATGTATATGTATGCACACATAAGACTGTGAGTATGTGTATTACATAAAACTGTGAATGAACATGTGTGAATGTGTGTGTGCACATGTGCATGCACATGCTTGTGTTTACATACAATGAGCAAAGTTACGTAGGGAAAATTAAGGCTGTTTCACCTATATGCCATAAGAGGATTGGAAAAGCATCTTTGAGTACAAATGCTTCTCCTCCAGCCCCAGAGAAGGCACATCATAAACACCATCCGAACCCTGTAGTGTATAAGATGTCAGAGCCCAGATGAGGCGACAACAGTCAGGGATATCTTTAACTAAATCATAACTAAAGCTTGGATGCTCTCTTGCTCTTTTTAAAACAAGCATAAGGTCCTTCCCTAGACAGATTAGCTGTCATACGGCATGATGCATTTTATCAATAACACTTGTATGTCCCTAAAAGCTGCACCTAAAGCCTGCCTGCCTGTTCTGAGACATACCCAGTTTAATTTAAAAGTGAGTAAAACAGATGATGAAGAATTTAAGTTTTCACATTTCTTCAATCATAATCATGTAGTAAACAAAACTATAAACAGAATAGGTCCTCTTTTGGACTCACTTTTACTTTAATGTTTTTGTGTTAGAAGGCATTAATTATGTATTTCTTAATATTGGTATTAAAAAAGTAACAGAAGGCTTCATGAGGAATTGAGAACAGCCATATGTGAATACCATCACCTGAGCTAGGATATGACTGAGTGGCGTGGCTCATTTGATTCTAATGGCTTTGCCAGAAAAACTTCTAACCTTGTCTCATATGATCACTCCAACCCTTAGTCTGCAGTTTCTTACCCCACTGAGATAATGAATGAATCCGAGAACTCCTGTAAAGTGTACAGTGATGAAGTCTTCCAAACACCTTTTTATTATTTCATCTTCTTTGCCTCTGTAGGTGAAAGGAGACTGTCAAGTGTGGTAGAATCCTCAAATGCATTAGTCTCCAAAACCAGAAATGAGTGTGTCTCAGGTTTCATGGGCATAGCAAGATGCTGGACTGAATTTTTTTTCTGCCTGAGCAGGTGTGAACTCAGAGTTGGGGTAATCATAGTAGCATTTGAACCAATAATCAAACAAAGGGTTTGCACTTGTTAGACTCTGTGCCAAGATTTACCTCTGGGCACCTGAAAGCCATTTTTATCTTTTTCTTTTTTGTTATTTCCTGCCCATCTTGGAATCCACAATACATTAGGGGCCAAATACAATATTTCTCACTGAACATCCCAGAAAGGAAAAGCCAACACTCAGTAGCTCAGAAATGCATAGTTAGCACACAACCAAGTAAGAGCTTTAAAAGTCAGCTCTTATAAACATTTTGTTGTAGTGGATTCCACATTAATAAAAAGACTCCATCCTACAGGAATGCACTAGTATTCTTAGAAGTGATCCACAAATAAGTTATATAAACTGTGAGGCAACATATTTGAAAGGAAAGAATTATTCACTTAAATTCTGGTTACTAGACTGAAATCATGTGTGTTAGTTGTTGATTACCAACTCAGATAGAATGCACTCTTTCAGCTGATGGCTTTTGCTAGGAACCTGGTAGAGAAAGGAGAGAATCCATTCTTATGGATTTTAGTTATGGGGAACATGATAGCAAACAGATGAACAAATATACCAAAAGAACACAGACAGGGAAGACACTGAAGAGGGATGAGAAGAAACAGCCCTTTTTTTGTGCTCTACAGTGCAAACTTTTCTCAACAACTAAATGTTATACTCTTCAGTATAGACCAATGAGCCTGAGGTGTCCTGAGAACTCTACCCACTGCAATGAAGTGGTATTCGGCAGAGAATTCCAGGTTAAATGCTCAGTTTCTTGCATGTCAGACCAACTTCATCAAATACCTAGAGCAGGATTGTCTTAAGAGGCAACATGAGGAGGCAGAAAAGCAGCTAGGGTGCAGGTTGATTTGAACCTGTATTCTGGCTCCACAATTTATCAATTAGATGTCTTTGGGCCAGAAGCTTGTCCTCGTTGGCTCTCTGTTTCCTCACATGACTTAAGGGAGAGCTGTTCTTACTTCAGAGTTCTTGTCAGAATATGCTAGTATATACCATCAATCCAAGTGGATGTTCAAAGCGGTACCTATGATCCTTACCAAAGAAATTCACCTTCGTCTCTTTTTCTAAAGTACCCCATGGGCTTTCTGGTAAACCAGGAATTTTCCTTGTCTTCATTCTCTCTGTCTCTCTCTGTCTCTCTCTGTCTCTCTGTCTCTGTGTCTCTCTCTCTCTCTCTCTCTCTCTCTCTCTCTCTCTCTCTCTCTCTCTCTCTCTCTCTCTTCTTAAAGTGGAGGTCTGTCCTGTTACCAAAGATGAATAAGCCAAGCAACCCCACTAGCTAACATCCCCTACCCTTCAGTACTTACAAAATAATAGACTGGGTGGAGATACAGCTAGACTACTGCCAGGTTATCAATTGCATTTCTTTAATCAAGAGGGAAAGGTAAGCCATCATGTTAATGTATCTGTTGTAAATTATCTCAGGGCAAGTATGATAGCAACTTTTTAAATTATAAATTACACACACTGGCATCAACAGTAAATATTTATTGGCAAACTACATATAACTATGTCCCTAGCTCATCTGTAAAATGTCCAAGAAAGTGTTCCATGTACAGAATCTTAGTGGAACATGGATGATGTGTGATATGTGTCCTCCAATTACAGCTTATGTGCAATTACAGCCAGGGTACTTGAATTTCACATAAATCTCAACCCAGATGGTACTAAGCAAATGTGACCCCTGCCTTTTCTTGTAGAATCAATATATAGTCTTTCATTAGCTAATGAACATTATATTCCCAGCCACGAATGACAGACTGGGTACTTTGTTGGCATCAGGATTTATTATAAGTCTTTGCATGTATTATTTTAATTTATTATGACAACTCTATGAGGAAAATACATAGAGATAACCCATTTTGTAGATGAGGAGACTGAAGCTTAGAGGTGTTATTTTCAGCACAACTATAAAACTGAAAGTGAGAGTGTCAGTTACATTAGTGCCATAGTGAATAAAACACCAAACTCAAACAATTTAAAGAAGGGGCTGGTGGGAGGGTGCGGGAGGAGGGGAGGGAAAGGGAGAGGGACCTGGAATTGACATGTGAAGCAACCTTGTTTCTAATTTAAATTTAAATTTAAAAATAAAAAATAAGATAAAATGTAAAGGAGAAAGGGCTTGTTTTTTGTTTTTGTTTTATTTTTTTTTTTTTACAGCTCTAGAGGCTTCATCTTCATCGTAGGGAAGGAATGATGGGTCAAAGCTCTTCAACTTGTGGCAGACAAGAAGCACTGGGAATACAGGAAATGGCTGGGACAAGACATGGACCTTCTTGCTGGTTAGCTTTGTTTCAGTATGACACAGGATAGACTCATCTGGGAAGAGGAAAATTTAGTTGAGAAAATGCCCCATAAGACTGGCCTGTGGGCAATCCTGTAAGGCATTTTCTTAGTTAATGATTGATGGGAGAGGGTCCAGTCCACCCTGAGTATTGACACTTCAGAGCAGGTGTCCTAATTTTTATAAGAAAGTAGGCTGAGCAAGTCATGCAGGCAAGCCAATAAGCAGTATTTATCCATAGTTCCTCCTGCCTCTGCAACTTCTTGAGTTTCTGCTGTGACTTCCCTCAATGATGGACTGTGAGCATGATGAGTAAGCCAAATAAATTCTCCTCTCCCGAGTTGCTTTTTTTGTTTTTTTAATTTTATCTTTTTTTATTTTAATTTTAAATAGCTTGTTTTACATGTCAATCCCAGTTCCCTCTCCCTCCTCTCCTCCCGCACTCCCCTTCCCCCCCACCCTCCCACCCTATTGCCAAATCCTTCCACATAGGGGATATCTAGAGTCTGTCATTTTACTCTGGGTAGGGTCCAGGCACTCCCCTAAGGGTCCAGGCTGAGAGAGCATCCCTCTTTGTGCTATAGGCACATGAAGACAGTTTGTATACCAGGGATAGACACTGATCCACAGCTCAGGGCCCCATAGGTTGCCCAGGCCTTCTCACTGACACTCACATTTGGGGGGGTCCAGATCAGTCCCATGCTGGTCTCCCCACTGTCAGTCTGGGGTCCAAGAGCTCTCCCCTGTTCAGATCAGCTGTCTCTGCTGGTTTTGCCAGCCCATTCTTTGCCAAGCTAAGCAATAGTGGAGAGACCACCTCGAATGCCCATTCCTGATAATGAACTTGATGTCTATAACCATCCGGGAACTTTCATCCCGAGTTGCTTTTGCTCATTGTTTTATCATAACAACAGGAAATCAAAGCAGAACAGCCTTCAAAGACTGTTCATTGACCTACTTACTCAAACTGTGTCTACCTTCCATGGCTTTCATTACATTTCAGTGGTCTACTGTAATTTGAATCTACTAAGTGGTGAAACCACGATGTCAGAGACATCATGATCAAATCATGTCTGGAAGTGCACTCACTGACATACTCTAAGGTGTGCATTAGAATCTCCTAGGCAACTCAATCCAGTCAGTTCAATCCAGATTAAGGATCACATGAGCAATCAGCTGCTTCTCCAGGCAACTTGGGTTACCTATTGCCCATTGTCTGCTATTTCTTCCCATGGAAGCTATGTCCCAGAGAAAGGTAGTCCCCAGACCTAGGGCAGTTTTATCCAAAATGCTAGACAGTGCTGCTATACAATTGTGTTACATAAATAGATTACTGATAAGAACACCAGAGACTGAGGCTCTCTTGCAAGTGTTTTGCAACACAGGCTATTGTAGTTTTATTTAGGCTGTTTACTCAAAGGGCCAGGAACTCCATTGTTTTATGTATAACAACATTTTTAACACCAACCATGTATTTGGCACTTTATTGGCTTCATAATATTTGTTGAATGGATTAATGAGAAAAGTTTCCAGAACAATGAAGAAAAGAAGACATAAACATAAAACCAGCTGAAACAAGTTGAGTACCTTAGGGGAGAAGTCATGGGGTATCAGAGGTGGACCAAAAGGCCAATAGTTAAGACTCCCCAAGGATCTAAGTGAATTTGACTCTCAGTACTTAGCAAATGATACAGGATTTGGGGATGTTATTAGCAGAGCCAAATACACATCAGGTCAGGCATTGTAGAAAAGTCAGCATTGGAACTGTGACCAAACTTACTATGGTGACAGGTTGTTTATCTGGGCAAGAGAATGTTCTAAATGCAGGTATGAGGCATTAAGGAGAAGCACAGGGAGAATGAGGTTCATTTGTCTGAACCAGGGTATACGGAATGAACCTGAGCTCAAAAGATGGTCAAGACTCCAACCAGCCTGAGCTTACCCATGCAATGCTGCTGTTTATTGCATGGGAAGGTAGCATTCAGAGTAAGGAACACATTTGTCACTATTGCAGGCATGTCCAGCCCATAACCATTGGCTACACTGATGCCAAGGATCACTATGCATGTGGTCAAATACAGAACTGAAAACTTACTTAAAACATTATGACACATTTTTTTGAGATTTTCTTTTTATAACTTAGGCATGTGGCTTTAAAGAACTCTGTAGATGACAATGTCCTCTCGAAAAGTTAAAATGTGGACACACCGTTTAGTATTTGCACATAATGCAAACACTAGGGATGCAATCTATACATCAAGTCCCATTTAATCTTGGATGGAGTCAAATAGAGAGTCTTATCTAATATGAATCCAACCCATGAGACCGTATTTTTCATGGTCTCCTCACACTGGACAACCAAAGGAGATTGCCACAAAGGAAGTAATTACAGAGGCACGGGTGAAGGAAAACCACACATGCAGGTACAGTGGCCTTGGGAGATTAAAGGCACCACTGTCATCTCTCTCAGGGAGTGCAATGAGGGGAAAGTTGCATGTCACAAATCACCTCGAAGTAAGCAGTAATCTTTGCTTTGGAGACACTGACAATCTATGGTGACCCAGTGATGGAGAATCCAGGAGCAAAGCTCTGTAGAATCATCACTTTTCCCTCTTCTGAACACTGCTGGGCTGCCATAGACAGAACTCAAGTGAAAACCAGGAGTTCAGGAAAACTGTGATTTAGTCACAGGACTTGGCTTCTTGGGCTTGAGCAAAAGAGAAGAAGATCATGAATCTGGAGGGACAAAGGGAAGAAGACTAAACCATTTCACACCTTTGTAAACATGGAGAGATCAAATCTTAGGTGTCGAGCCAGGGGTAATGCTTATCTAGCATGGAAAACATGCTTTGCTTTGTTTTCAGTGCATGTCTTTTCATATTGAGCTTCTATTATGATAGATGGTACTGGTTTTTCCATTTACTTAAAGATAAAGTTCCCTTTCAGAATACACTTAAGTTTTAAAAGTGAGTTCATTTAAAGATAAATATGAAGTAAACAACAGCACAGATGGAAGGGGGTAGCAAAGATAACAGAAGTGTGATGACTAATGTTCCTAAAGTCCTATGGAGAACCGCTGCAGCTGACAGGTTTTGAGCAAACGAGTGATAGGATCAAGGCTCTGCATGGGCAGTTTAATGTACTTTCAGTATAAAGAACAGATAGAGATGGCAGGCAGAGGCCCTAGGACTAGAGAGGCAGGGACAGAGTGAAAGGATTGAAGCAGAACAAACAGATCAAAAGAGTTAAGAATTCACTGCACCAAAGGCAATCACAATGTAGAGCAGAAGATAACAGCTGCCACCAAAATTGCCCTTAAAAACATCTATTATCGGCAATATTAGAAATGCTGTAGCAAAATAATGGGGCAGGAATCAAGGCCCGTTAACAGGTAGAACACTTATGTAATTTATCTCCCATGAGACTGTCAGTGAAGGAAGAAAACCACGAACATTTATCTAATGCGTACCCCCAGTACAGCGTTTCTCCAGAACAGCTGCATTTGTTTTTCATATTTGCAGTGGAAAAATTGGGAAGGTCATCCAGACTTGGTGTGGGGAACCAGGAGAGCAATTTCTATGCCTTGGATAGACACAGTAGTGGAGGTATTTTCAGATACTTAGGATATTTGTTTAGAGCTTTGGAGTAAGCCAGGAGATCTATTTTCCTGAACAGAATATTTAGTTAGAAAAATGAAACCAAACAGACATAATCATCCCAGTGTCAGAGAAACAATCTGAAACTACAGTTTAGGAATAGCAGTTTATCATGGTTGTTGTTACATTGGCAAAGATTTGAGACTAGGCACTCACCTTATTTTGGGTTGTGTGTAGATGTACCACCCCACCCCCACCCCACACCACGCACAATGAATTTCTAGACCATGCTTCACTTGTATAAAAATGATTTTCAATTAAATCCTCAAGTTCTGGCTCCCTGAGAGTTTTAATCATCATGTTTTCAAATGAACCAGCGGTTCATAGGCATCAAGAGAAGGAAAGACCTACCAGATTATCAAGCCTGTCCCAACAGACTTCTTAGGAGTGTTCCCTGCAGTTCACTTTCAATTGCTTTGTTCACTTTTGGTTTTAAATGACTCCAGCAATGGGACTCTTCGTCAATCTAAGAGGCCCATGGGAACCTTTGCTCAGCCTCAGAGTCCTCATTTTAGAAAACGTATTCTGATATGAAGTCTTGCTACACCACTTGCCTCTCCCAATGGGCCCTTTCTTCTTCCCTACATTTATGCCCTTCAACCCCTACGGATGCCAGGGAATGGCAATAGTTTGCCTCATCAATTACTCTCTTCTTTCCCCTCATTGCTTTTTATTCTTTGTTAATCTGAAGATTTCTATGCTTTTGTCTGCTTCTCACATCTTTGTCACCATAGTAACTGAAGGCTTTGACAAGCACACCATTTCATAAGAAGCCCATGAAGGCTGCAGCTTGTCCTTGTGGCCTTCAGCTCCATTTCAGAAGGGGACTTTCTATAATCGAGCATTTATGACATGATCAGGTCTGTGAATACCTGCATAATCACTTACACTAGATAATCACTCAGTAAATCTTCAGGGTCTGGGAGGTAAATGTTCCACAAGGAATAGTTGGCTGAATGCCAGAACTTTAAGAAAGAGCAAAGTAACATGGAGAATCATCCAGGAGCACCCTTAACCATTCTGTGTCTCAGGATCTCAGTTTCCAAAGTTGTCAGAAGAGGGGACTGGACCACAAACCCCATAAGGATGTTCTATGCAAACAATTGTGCACAAATCCAACTTAAAGAAGTCCTAGTGAATATCCTGTGCACGGTTGCCAGATTTATCAAGCAAAAACACAAGATGTCAGTGACATTGGGATTGCAAATAAATTAATAGCTTGTAGTATAACTTTATGCCACTCAATAATTGGAATATAGTTCCCTCCCCATATCCTCTCCTGCAAAATCTGATATTTCCCTCTGAAGTTGAAACATAACTGCTAAACTGTGCCCAATGCTTTCTATTCTAGTCTCAGATACTCAGGAGACTAAACATTA